AGGAACTGGTGGGATGTCCGCACCCACCCCTCTGGGCATGCACGGTGGGGTTCCTGTGCATGCCGGAGGTCTGGGCGCGAAAATCCGTTAAGAGCTTGCTACAATGCCGATCGATCCAGCATGTGTGCACTAGATCCCATGGGTGTGAATGCACAGATGACCACTCGAAGATCATCAGTTACAGGTAAGCAACCTGCTTTTCCAGTGTTTCCACCTCACCGATAGGGCATGTGCAGATTCTTTTGCTATATGGAATCTGTCGATATCTCCCTTCTGTTACCTTAGATGGCATAACATCACACCTGGAAAGAGTAAGAGCCCTTCTGTATGGAGGGTATTCTATGTTTTTAAGATATTGGGCCATATTCATAGTGTAACTATCTTTTCCAGGCACCCTAAAGTTTGGATTTCGTATCAGGTCTTGCTGGCGTTCAATGTCACAGACCCTTTGCTTGATTAAAGATCTCGCAGCATTAATATTTTGGGTCAACAGATCATCAAGAGAAAAACCTATACACTTAAAGTCAGGTGAAGTAGAAACATGATAGGTTTTCAGCCTTGGTTTGGAACTCCAAATGTAGCAGGGCTAAATTGGACTACTTGGGGGGTGGGTCTGTGGCTCAGTGGTAGGGCATCTCCTTGTCATGCAGAAGGTCTCAGGTTCAATCCCCAGCATCTTCAGTGAAAAGGATCAGGTACTGGTTGCTGTGAAACATCTCTGCCTGAATCTCTGGAGAGCGGCTGCCAGTCTGAGCAGACAACACTGACCTTGATGGAGTGATCGTCTGATTTAGCTTAAGGCAGCCAGGGCCGGCCCGAGGTTGTCCTGTGCTCTAGGCGAGTGCAGATGCCAACCTCCCGGCGGGGCCTGGAGACCTCTCCCCCGGAACCAGGCAGACTGGGAGGAGGGTCACCCAGATTAGAGTCCGCGCTCCTAACCACTAATTCCTGGGGGTGGGGAGGCCACCACAATGTTGGCACCACCGCCAGCCTGGAGGAGGGGGGATTGGAGGGGGGTCTCCCGAGGTTCGTCCCTGCGCGCCCTCACTGGCCTTGCCATGCCAGGTGCTGGCTCCCTCCTGCCTGCCTTCGCCGTCGCCGCCGGGGGGCTCCCAGTAGCAGCAGCCTCCTCCTCCGCACAGCCCTGACCTGACCCGCAGCAGCGCCGCCGCCAGCTCCCCATGGCTGGGCGCGCCGGAGTTGCCCCCGTGCCTTGAAAAGGCGAGGAGGCGAGAGAGGCAGGGAGAGAGAGCTTGGGGGGGGGGCCGATCCAGGCCGCAGCAGCAGCGCCGCCGCCAGCTCGCCTCCCAATGGCCAGGCTCGCCAGAGTTCCCCCGTGCCTTGAAAAGGCGAGGAGGAGAGAGAGGCGGGGAGAGAGAGTTTGTGGAGGGGGGGCGATCCAGGTCACAGCAGCAGCGCCGCCGCTGGCTTGGCTCTCCATGGCCAGGCGCGCCGGAGTTGCCTTGAAAAGGTGGGGGGGGGGAGGAGGATTTA